CTGACCCATTTGATGGGCACAGCCCTAACAGTGCTGGCACACAAAGTCCCCTATCCACAGGTGATGGTCAACAGCTCGGCCTGAGCTCCAGTTCTGACAGGGCAATTTTAAGCATGGACTCATGGTGTTCACCTGCAAGCTTTCTAAAGCTGCCATTTGAGAATTGGGAACACTTTGCAAAAACAATGAGAATTACTGCAAAGCATCCACAGAGAACTTTGTTCTGCAGGAGTTATCGTAATTAGTTTTATTAGCGAACGTTGAAGAAAACAGCTTGATATTGTTATTAAGTCTTTTGTGGTGACAGCATCGTGAGATGAATGGAAAAACAGATGTCTGCTTTGTGTAAGCCTCCAGACTAATGCTTATAACAGGCTACAGCTAATGCCTCATGGATAATCTTTCTCATGCCTTTCAAGCAATTGCTAAACAAGGGGAGAAACCCAGGCTAGCCAGACAGACCACTACTTCACTTGCTGTTTCCCCTTCCCCTTAGCTTCCTCCGAGTTATTGGCAATCAAAGCTGAAAACTGAAGGTGGGTTGCTACACCTTTGACTTGCAGGCCTGAATATCAATGAGCCACAAGAGACAGAGATGGAGAGAGCAACAAAAGGTGAGGGGAAGAGACAGAGGAGGTTGGAAACGGCTCGGCTCGTTTCCCAGCACACACACTGACAGACAGGTAGTGTTAACACTGTACCTAGAGAGGCTGCCCTCAGTGGCCAGGCTCGGGGAGTCATCGAGGACATTAGGTTCACTGCAGGAGGGGCAGGGAGATTCAGAATTTAGGGAAAGAAAATGCAAAAAAAAAAAAGCATGCGATTGTCTCTGTTTTAAAGGGAAAAAATATCAACGGAATAAAAAGTAAAAAAGGACGGTAACATTAATTGGTCTCGCACGCTCAACAGCACATATATGAGTCAGAGGAGCTGAAAGAACATCTGATAACAGGAGTAGCTGTTAGAGGGAGTTTACACTACATGGAGACGTCTACATCTCTGCTCTGAACTGGGGAGCTAAGGACTTCAGTAGGATGTGTTTCCAGAGGATATAAGGTCAGGGAACTGTTTTCCAAGCCATTTTCCTGTGGCATTTTCATTTATTTTGGTTCTATTTACTTCCAGCTTCATAGAAAGCTTTTTTCTTCCCTCTTCCCTACAAGCCAGTTCTTCCTGAGGGAGGACTAATCTGCCTCCCAGGAGCTGCAGACCACTCTCATTCTGGTACAATTCTAAGGACAACCACCTGGAAAACAAGGTCTCGTAGTGCAATGAAACTGTAAGTAAACAGCTGGCGTGGATCCTGGCAAAAAAGTACACAATCGCTTTGCTTTTCTACACTTCAGCCACCGAGGCAGGAGCAGCTCTCTCAGCCACAGGAAAATCATGAAAGAAAGAAGGCAGTCTGCTGGGTTACCAGCAGGAAAGCAATAATAATATTACTTAGCATTAATTAGTTTACATTTGTGAGGCAGCCTGAAAGCCCAGAGACCATCCATAACTAAAAAGGGCATGATATTGTAGACTCTGATTGTGCTTGCTGAGCTTGTACTGTCCCTGCACAGATGAAAAGCGATTCTCCTGGTGTATGGTGTACATCAAAAGTAGAGAGTAAAGCTCTGTTGTAATTAAACTCTTTTTTTTCTCAGAAGAACCATGACTTGGGATTGCACAAAGCAACATTGCTATCAGTCAGCTGTGACTCCTACGAAGTTTACGCATTCAAGATTGTAGTGAAAGATCTGGGGAAAATGCAGTCCTGCATATTAATTTCTTAAGAAACAAAGGGACTGAATCAATTGGGTTCAAAAGTCAAATGAGTTCCTGTAAGCCCTTTTGTGAAAACTCCCAGATAAAATCTGTGTAACTCCTCTCTTGTAAATCACTTCTCCTATCTCTGCTGGTATGTACAACAGCTGTTACTTTTCCTTCATGTATCAAGGTTATTTTTTTTTACTTCCAAGCAAGACTGGGAGGGAACAATGTTGTTTGATTTTCCAAGGCTGGTCAGGAGATAATGCAGAATTTACTGTTTAAAGGTTCAAAGGAGTTAACAAAAATTAATCTATCCATTGTCAAGGTATCTTTGGATAACTATATATCTTTGGATAACTATGCCACAGAAAAACAAAACAATAAACACTGTTTACTTAGAAAAAGTCACATTTAACTGCAAAACTTGTCTCTACGCTCTAAAGACGCGCATTTTCCAAATTCCTATCTTTTTTTCACCACTCCATGTCAACCAGGAATAAGGCATTCAAGGGAATTTCTATCAACGTTAATATTTCTGGGTTTAAATTGTTAAATCCCATCTTTCAGCTGGACATTTGGTGTCCAAGATGATCTAGTTACTGTTCTAAGAAGGATAAAGTCTGCATGGGAAAGAAAATAAAAAAAATCAAACAAACTACCTCTGCCCTCTGCCCAGCATCTGGGGATTACTCCATGCTCCCAACGCAGATTGTGTACAGTCCCCTGGTTCATTACAGAACCTAGAAATCACATCTGCTCCTTGTGCTACCCACTGTACTAGCAGAGGAAAAAAACTGCTGGAGATGTCTGAAACTGTTTCAGAGGAAAGTTTCTAGAAATGACAGCTCCTTCTTTTGGACCTTATGCAACACAAGTCATCCTGGAAAATCATTATTTCCAAAGCTGCACCCTTGGTCCAATGCTATTTTAGGATGAATACATTTATTATCACTATGCTGGTGCTGATCCTCCTATCCCACATTTCTGATTTCCACATCATATACCTGCACCATTTCTGCTCTTGTGAATATAATGGGAAAGGTGAAAAGCCCATGTTGTTACCTTTGGCTGGGTAACATGCCCACCTCAGCCTGAGGTGCAGACACGCTGGAGAGATGGCTGGAGAACCGCCTCCTCCCAATGGCACCCATTAGGTACGCTTCTTGTTCACTTACCACACTGGGCATACTCAGGGAGTCATCTAGAAAGAGAGAGGAAAAAAAAAGAAAACAACAAAGGAGAGGGAGCAACCATCCCAAACCCCCACCTCCACATTTATACTTGTCGAACAATAACGGGATGCCAAAGGTGTACCCAGCATTTACTTACCAAGTCCCCAAGTCTGCAAATTTCAGTGCTTCCACTAGATTTTACAAACACTAGTCAGAAAGACATACGCATAAAACCCTGCAGAACGAGGAGCACCGCACACACGAGGCAGGGATTTATGTCTGCTTTCAGCTTATATAACTCCCAGGAAAATGTGTTTGGGGAATTTGGTTTCTACTAAGGCTTAATTTCTGTGATTAATAAATCGTTGGGTGATATGTAGTGATTGCTGGCAAAAAAAAGTTGTAGCTGGACATGTTATGGTATGAATAAATGGCTGCTCCAGTATAGCAAAGCACTGTTACAAAAGATAAAATCCATAACAAAGCAAAAGGCAGGATTGACAGCCTTTAACACCCTTTGGGACATGCGTTTTAAAATGTCACCAAAAAAAATTGGATAAATTGACTCAAGCACATCATTCTGCAGCTGTGCTTTGCAGACAGTTGGATTGTGATCAGGACTGCTTTAAATTTTCAGTGCTGTTTCAAATTACATCAAGTATCTGGAAAGAAATGACTCTGTTGTGGTTTTTACCACAACAACTTCTAATTATAAATAAACAAATGAAACAAAGGGGAAGTTTTGTGTAATTTTCTCTTCTCTTTTTGACCTTTTCCAATTTTGATATACTGAAATACTTCACGGCAGCATTAAGCCGAGGCAGGGCTGAGGTAATACTGCCATAAGCAAATAGAAGACAGCACTCATCATTCCACACAGTGGCTCATCATTAATCTGAGGCTGAAAACAGCATTTGCCACAACGTGTAACAGAGAAATGTATCAGCAGAACAATGCTGGGTGGACCGTGCAATGTTTAGCAATGAACCCAGCTGAAATAATGTTGGGCTGAACCTGAAAAGTTCAGGCTGTTCTTTCCCAAAAGGTAGCTCTGCCTCAACTGCACAGACCCTTCTTTTGAGCCACCTATTTTCACCCCTTTTACTTAATGTCTTTTGGGAATAGTCAGCAATCCTCAAATACAAAAGCAAAGTGCTTGAGTTTCAAGGCATTGAGGCAACCAACCCTTGCAGCACCAGAAGGCAATATCCCTGCTAAAGCAGGGGGAAACCCAAGCCTGATGACATATAAGCAGAGTTTTCTACCCTGGCTTTCAGTGACGGACAACTCAGAAGCAGATGGACAGCTCACAAGCAGAGAGAAGGCAAAATTCCAAGAATAACATGAAATTCAGCTGAAATGACAAAGCAACATTGAGGTCATTGCAAATTAGTCCCCAGGATATTCACCGTCTCATTCCTTTTAAGCCGGCACCAGAAAGCCTGGCAACCCTGGAACATGCCAGCTACCCACAGGAGAGATCAAGCTTTTGCTGTCAGAAGGTTTAAGGCTTAATTTCCTCTCTGTGAATCAAGTGACACAAGCGCACAGACATTCTACCCTGCAGAGCCACAGCTGGATCCCATGCAGCACAAGGTCAACATATTCCATGTCAGAACATCCAGACAGAAGTGATGAGCAGGAAATACTCAGACCCTGCAGCAACTGGACCCTAACTACAAAGCCAGCCACCACCCCTGCCTTCTGCTGGGATGAAGGTCAAAGAGAGGACTGATTGCTAATGCCTTGCCAGCACTGTGGGGACTACGTGTCAGCCTGGGTCTCACACACTAGATGTCTGCTCAGGCCCTTCCTTTTCTCCACCCAGAGATCAGGAAGGGATGAGGGAGATACGGAATGACCCAAGCTTTAAGACCATGGACTGTGTAGCAGCAACACCAGATCCATAGCCTTGTGCCCCCATGGGCTTTTTGTTCACACTGGGACAGTGACAACTGTCTTCCCCTCCCATCTGTCCTCGGGGGCATCCAGAGAACACCGTCAGTGTTGGGAGCTTTGCTCAAATCAGTAACCACGTACTTTCTTCATCTTCCTCATCTGTGCGGCTCAGCGTGTCCTGCGAGGCCTGCTGGGAGGGCTCGCTGTCCTGCTCCCAGACCGTGCCAGTGCCTGTGTTGGAGCGGGACATGGTGGCCAGACTCAGGCGGTATGCGGAGGTGGAGGTGCCCACGGTGCTCACAGACGTCTTCCCTTGGTAAGCTGCGGAAGTGGGAAAACCCAACCCAAGTCAGTGCCGGCACTGGGAACCAGCAACCAGTGACACCTTCCTGTCACACTGGGCACCTGACTGCTAGGAGCAGTGGGGCAGTGGCTGGGCAGAGGTGATACAGCAGGCACAGAAGCCCCGGCTCACCCCATCCCAAACCTCTGTTGTGTCTGTGTCTGTTTTGTGTTTTTTTTTTTTCTGTTTGTTTGCAGTCTGGTTTTCTCCCTTAACCTTACTGCTTTAACATTTAGGAAGAAGGCAAATTATTTCTGAGGAAAAAAAGCTTGAGGCATGTTCTTTTTTTTCTTTCCTTTCTTAAGAACAAAGCACATAAAACCTCCTGCTGTGCATAAGCAGCGGCTGCCATCTTGTGGCAACAAGGGCGACTGTAACAGCAGACATCCCCTCATGGAAGGAAAGTGGTGAAAAAGCTTCAGTACCCTGCGAGCCCACTGGTAACAGTACAGAAAATCAACATAAGACCAAGAGGAGAAAGGAGGAGACAGATCTGCTGCTGAACTACAAACATACATCCGTTTCTGCACAAGCAGCTCAAGATTTACAGAGATGTAGGTAAGGGCTTGCTGTGTTGTGTGTTCTGCCTTAGGGCTGCACAGGCCAGCTGCGGCAGTGAGAGGCTGCTGCTGGGACATGGTCTTAGTGGAAAAAAATGGGCACAACAAGGTGTGCTTCACAACTACCCCACACTTCTGGTGGCTGTCCAGCAGCAAAGCTGGGCTGGGCATGGAGCCAGAGGCAGGGACAAGCTGTCAAGGTGTGAGGGAGTTATCCCAAGCCCCTCCTTGAGAGCGGGCGGGTTTGTCTCACAAGTTAATTCCCAAGTAAAGCAGCTGGCCAGACTGGGCTGATGGCCCTCTGGCTCTTCCCTCTCCTCCTTACCAGACCCGCTGTGCACTGCCTCCTTCAGGATCTTCAGCTCGTTATTGAACTCTGCGATGAGGGAGCTCTTGCAGAGGGGGCGCGGTATGAACCGTCTCTCCAGCTGGTCAGCGATGTGCTGCCGGGCAGTCAGCTCCTCGTGGTTCTCAGCCGGCTGGGCCAGCAGCTGAGAAAGGCATTAACAACATTGGGACACGTTAGCATGGCAGGGAAGCGATACCCAGGGAGCTGGGACTGGTCTTCAGATCAGCACGAGCCCATAGCCAGCAGGCTGTCCTCTTTGTAGGCATGGTTTTGACTGCAGCTATAAGAAGTTTCTGCCTGTCTTTTAGGGACAACCTTGTATTTGACTGAGCAGACACAAAATCTCACTGCTACATGGAGATCAGGGCTTCCTTAGGCTAAACTCAGACATGAGACAGCTCCTGCCTCCAAGATGATTTAGTCTGTCCAAACGGTGAGAAGGCTAAATAAGGCGGAGTACCATGTCTCAATCTACCTGGCAAGGAGGGAAGAGCTGTGATTAGCTTAAGCCCTGGCTGCCCCAGCCCAGCAGCTGTCTGTCCATGATGGGCATACTCTTTGCTGTTGTCTAGGAAAAAGCTTTCTGATTCAGTTTCAAGGGCTTCACAAGCCTACTAACACATCACTCCCTACATAAAGACCTGGTTCTTCCAGGAGCGCTGTTGCCTCTGTTTTCAGCAAGGGAAGAAAGGATATCTTCAGGGAGCGATCTAGCAGGAGCCAAAGCAACTGTTACCTTGCACTGGATGAAGGGCCGAAGGAGCACAAAGATAGGGATCCGTGTTCGCACGATAAAGTCGAGGAAATCCCACAGGGCCAGCCCTCCCACCTTCCGCAGTGCCATCTCTTTGACTTGCAGGCTCAGCCAGTACCACTGGCTGTCCAGCTGGCGTTCAAAGCAAACAAGGATCACCTTCAGGGCTACATGGGAACACACACCAGCAAAGGACAGTCAGAGGTGTTATTAGTGTCCCTTACAGGCGCTGAGGGAGGAACGGGGGGGCCACGGCAGGCACAAACCTTGGCATGCATGCATGCACATGCACTTGCACACCCACACACCTCAGAGTCACAAGTTTCTTTTCTATCAGTCTGCAAACAGCGTAGGGAAGGAGGCAAACCTTGTCCTAATAAATGGCCTTGGGATCAGGACTGAGAGTCCCTCCTGCAGTTTTACCCATGAGGAATGTTCCTACTTCACACCCAAGTTCCTCTGTAGTTTTTTGCGCTTCCCCTCTCCCTCCCTGCAGAGCTCTAGCATAATTTGATTGTCTTCCTGGAATTCAGGTATTGGTATCAATTTTGGTATTTCAAAAGCAGCTCAGGATGGGAATGCAGCCCTGTCTGATCAGACAACCTCAAAAACCTCCATTAAGCACAGCCACAGCAAGGGCCACCCAGTGAGCACAATCATCTCCAGGTTACCTTCAGGGTAATGAAAAGGACCTTTCTAGCAGTGCAGCTGCTTAAGCCCCAGTCTAACCGTAATCTGAACAACAACAACAACAACCAGTCCAAGGGCCATAATTCACAAGAGCACTGCATTACAAATGGGGATGAGCAGAGATGAGGTTCAAAACAATGCTCTCCATTAAAGTGGGCTGTGACCAACAGCTAGCTCACAGGAGAGACAGGGAACATTGTCCCTGTGGTACAATGGAGGCCTGGAAATTGCTGGGGGAATGGTTGACTACTCTACTCCATCTTTCTTGGTGGGATGGCCAGGACATCTCAGCCATCACACATCTACGTACAAGTTTGTTGGAGCAGGGAGCTACATCAGTGGTGAGTTGCCAGTTTTCCATCAGTAGTACCCCACACCTCAGATAGGGGTTAACAAAGAGCTGAATGTAAGTCTTTGGGTAAGTGCCCTCACAAAATTGGACACAGAGAAGCTGTGTGGAGGGCCCCCCATATAGCCCTGATAACCTGTACTGCTGCTGGATCTCTGATTTGACTGTTTTCTCTTTCCTTTCACCTGTGGGTCAGGTATGAGAATACAGTACTGCCTTGCAGCAGCATACAGTGAGCAGGGAGAATGATAGTCTGGAAAGACCACACGTGCATAGGGCCAGCGGGCAGGCAGACTGCCCCGCATTTCACCTGCATGACAGAGCTAACCATGGGCCAGTGAAGCTGTGACATTAGGGGCTGGCAGGCAGAGAATCAGCCTTTTCTGGCTTCGCTGCTATATACTGGCAGGATGAAAACTGAGCGACTTCTCTTCCCAGAGGCGAGCAGAAGCCATCACTCACCCAGGTAGGCAGCCTGGCTGGTGGACTCTGCCAGCCCTTCCCGCCGCAGGTCCTTCCCCGCATCCCCCGGGGTGGAGCAATGGGCAGGGGAACTCTCCAGCATAAAATTCTTGCTGCGGGAAGTGCTGATGATGCGAGGTGGCAGGAGGATATTGATAACAGTCTGGAGCAGCAGCAGGACCTCAGGCTGCTCCAGCCAGGGGCTGTCTGAGATGCATTGGGAGGGGAGAGAGAGAGAGAGATCAGGCTACATCCCATCAAAGACAACCAAAAGATCCAGACCCTGCTCCATTCCAAAATGTGGGGCAATCTCAAATGTCCCCCAAGCCAAAACTCCGTCCCCCACAACTTGTTATGCTGCTTCTCCTCCTGCAAGCAAAGGCAAAGTTTATTTTAACACCAACACAGACAGACACAAACACAGAGCTACACAGCACAGCAGAACGTCCCGTTCAGTGGTCTCATGATCTCATTTCCTTTTTTTTTTTTTTACCTCCCCCTCTCCATTCTTCTTTGCTTTTGTTTAGGAATTTACCAGTGATCACACTCTATAGAAGAAAGCAAGGAGCAGGACTTATGCCAGCCTAGTGGCATGGATTGGGCAGACAGCAAACCACAAGGGCACACAATTTTGTGACCTCTGCTCCCCTCCGTGGCTTCTGCTACAACACATTTGTCTTGCCCTGCACTCCAGTTTCAAAAGAAGGAGCACGTCTATGAAAGACCTGACTCAAGAACCACGGCCCAGCTGAAACAAAGAGGAGAAACAACAACTTCTCCCAGTGGGATTCTTTTCAGTCTCAGACCCAAAGGGCACTTAGCTGACACACTGTAAGTGACAGGAAACCAAATTAAAAAATAATAATAATAACAAAAAAAAAGATCAACAGAGAGCAGCGAAAGTGCAAACATCAGTTGTCAGAAAAGGGGGAGAAAATTTCTTTTTGTTAAATTAGTCAGACCTTTGCTTCCAGATCCTACTGTGAGCACAAATGGAATCAGTAGGTTTAAAAGCATTCCTTCCCTTCTTTCCTGATTGGTGAATGGGGAGACGACATGGCTTAGGGGGAAATCTTCTTTCAAAGCCTGTGCAGTAATAATAAGAAAGGATTAAACAATTTCGTCAGCAGATCACGCACACAAGTTACCGCAGGGAATGACGGTCCCCCAGGCACCCTGTTTACACAGTTCAACACAGGCATTGATGACCTGATTGAATTAGAAGCCCTGAGACCACTTAGGAGCAAAAGGATTTCACAGAGTAACATGGCTATGACCTGCTTTTGTCATAACCAAGAGGTAAGAAGCCCAGATTCCTTACTCATAGGCATCATTAACAATATCAGAAGCATCCCACAGGAGCTGACTGCATGTTAGTCCCAAACTCTGTACTGCTGTGAACGGGAACAGGATTTGACCCAGACTACAAGGAATAAAAAAAATGAACAGAGAAAATAGAACAAATGACATAACCTAAATATTCTGCTGTCTGAACATGAAGGTTATTCTAGAACACATTTTTTGTTCTGCCTCACTTTGTGCTGCTCTGTCAGCTTCCCTAACAAAAACACTGAACTCCTGAAATATAAACAAAATGCACATTTACTTCTTGACTCACTGAAGCCCAAATTGAAGGTCTTTTGTCTTCTTTAGAGGAGGTAACACAAATGACTATCACTAAAACCTCTGCTCATCTGCAATTTCCCAGTTGCTATAGACTTAGCTGTGAAATGCAACTGAACTTTGTAACCCCCTGAGCTCGTAGACCTGGGCTGAGAAACTCCAGAAAATGATTTACTGTGGGGTATGAAGTACTTCTATTTTATATCCTGCAGGAAGGCTTAGGAATATGGCTTCTCATGTGTTTTTCTGACATGTTTGGTTTTTGTTCCATTTAAAACCCATGAAAAGAAGGAGTGAACAGGGAGAAGATAATATAAGTGAAAACTCCCAATATGGTTTAAAAACAATTTTTTTGGTACCTAGTTAAAAAAAAAAAAAAAGAGAAAAGATTTCAGAGAAGGTGAGGGCAGCCCTTTTCAGCTTGCGATCAAAGAAATATTACCTCAGAGCTGGAAGAAATCTGTGCCCTTTATGTGCGAGTCAGTATCAAAAAGTCCTTTTGTGCCTCACGCTCTGAAGAAAAGCAATGTGTCTTGATTCCTCTAACCCTTACTTCCCAAGCAGCCCCACCACTCAAAAATACCTGCTGAAGTATCCAATTGGATGTGCCAATACATACTTTAAAATGCAAGTTGGAGCTAAATTAGGAAATTTGTCTCTTCATTCTGTTGCTGCCAATGTCTCCCTTTCGTCTGATTTCATGCCAATGGGGAGGGAGAGGAATATGGAGGCAGAAAGAGTCTGTAATAGTTGTGGCACTGCTATGAGAAATGAAAAGTGATGAGTTTCCAAAAGTACGGGATGGGTTTGTTACTGTGGACAAGGATGCTCTTGAGTAAGCAGCTGAAAAGCCAAGTTGCCCTGCCTGTTGGAGCTAGCACACCGTACAACCAGCTCAGGTAAGAGCAGAAGAGCCCAAACTCCACTCAAAGTTACGCACATGCACCCAACGAGAAAGAAGGTCGAGCTGCATGGACGTGACCCAGGCCAGGGCACATCTCCCCATGGCAGGAAACTTCCGCTAGCTCCTTAGGTACTGCAGGGAATCCTAATATGCTCGTCAGAGCCTTAAACAGCATCAATCAGCCGAACTCCCTGGACATGAATCAGCAGTGTTAAGCTGATGGATGCTTGATGTAGACGGGTGAATTCTGAGCTCAGTTCAAGCCGTCAAAAAGATGGGAGAATTTACATGTTGCTTCTCTTTGATTTTTGGTGTATGTTCCACAGTTTTTGCCCAGCTTTTGCAGAAAGAAAACAGAGCACCGATGAGTTGGTGTCTCAACCAGAAGCTAAAACTTGCCTGGCCGCAGGCCAGGGCAGACACACCTGTATCTGCAATGCTACAAGCCGGACAACAGCTGTGCTGAAGGGCAGAGGTGGCGAGAGATAAGGGCTGAGATGAAGAAGGGGTAATCCGTCAGCCACACTGGAGGGTCCTACCACTCCCATCACCTGCAATACAAACAGAGCACATCACCACAACTGACTGCTAACAGTTTCATCCATGCCATATCCTCCAACATCAATGAAATGGAGGGGCCTTTCATTCGAGCACTGGGTTGGGGTGGCTCTAGGAGAACCAGCCCCTGCCCAGTGGTCTTTGTGGGAGCTGGGGCCAGTGAGGAGGAGTTCTAGCAGGGAAGGTGAGGGGAGAAGAGGGAACCAGCAAGGGTGGGAGGAGTGCACAGGTAACCTGGTACATTCAGCAATGTACCCTGTACCAGCCCTGAATGATCAGCACTGGACCGGTGGAACAGTTAGAGTTGGAGGATATGTCATGTAACGACTGTAACAAATAAAATATGTCATCAAAGCAAAAAGTCTGCATTGAAACTGGGCATCTTTTCCCTTCTCTTGCTGATCTACTGGAAAAATAATGTCCTAAGTCTGACCCTAGCCGGGTTTTGTACAATGTTCAGATTCCTCTCCAACACACTCTGTTCTTACAGATTCTAAGCACGGTTCATCTTGCCTGTCCCAAGATGTCTAAAATAGAGTCACCTGCCAGTGACCTGGTTGTCTGGAGCCCCGTGAACTATCAGCACAAGAAAACAACACTTCTAGGGGAGGGTTATTTGAACTGTTTTGGACGTGTCCTTCAGGAGAAAATTAAACCACAGGCCTGCTTCTTTGTGTTTCTCTCCATGACTACACACATCTAGATGATGGAAACAGGTAGAAGCTAACTCACAGACTGCTGAGCTTAGGGGAGATGAACACACACTGTATTCCCAAATTCAGCTTGGGGAGAAAGAGAGCAGTCAGTTTTCTCCCAGAACACCAAAGGACAATTTAGAAGGGGAGAAGGTGAAGCCCTTTCTCCATTTGAGTATGGAGACATTCAGACATTTCCCCACCTTCCTGCTGGATGTCTTTTTGGCTTCATGATGCACCTGGTCTACACATAAATACATGTATTAGCATGCAGTCAGGGGTGATCCTACAGCAGCTACAGCTCTTGACAGCTAAAGGTGAAATTCTCTTAACGTTAAAAGTACATTTTTTCCTGGTACCTCTCCCTGGTGTTCCCAGCCAGCTGAATGCAAGCACTATGACTGACTGCACTTCAGCACTGCAGAGCTTTCTGCTTTTTTTAGAGCACTGACTAATTCTTAATGCAGGCCTTTTGGAGAGCCTGCTGGTGTGATTCACTCCAGCTTGTCTGCCTGCCAAACTGCAAGTCCATTCTCAACCTGTGTGTGAGCTAACTCTGTAGCAGCTTCCCTGGGCAACAACCCTAAGTACTTTTGAGGGTCCAGATTTACAATGCCTCCCAAGCAGCTCTCTCTGCATGAATAAGAAGGAAGTCTTGCGGGCTCTGACAGCTTGGAGCTTCCCTACCCTTGCAGCTATGAGTGATGTATGGGCTCAGAGGACAGGAGCCTGGCAAACACTGATACTGCATTAAAATTGGTGATCATTGTTTTTAAAATTAAATTCCTCGAGGCACTGGGAACCCTGAGAGGTTTTCTGCTACTGCATTCTAAGAAGAAAATGTTATTAAACCCAGTATCACTAACAATGCCAGGGCAGCCTTTCCCCCTTCATTTGTATTTTTTCTACACAGAACGTGAGCGTGTGCGTTTGTACAAATACCTGGAGTTACACTAATACCAAACGGAGGGTTTGTGCCCAGTGTTACAGCTGCAGAAACTGCAATCTAGAACTGAATGACCAGACGGGCTCTGTCCGTACAACCTCTCTGTTGTGACACACTTAGGAACAAAAGTTCTACTAAGAGTGGGATCTGAACATTGTACTGTGCAAACCTGTACTAGATCAAGCCAGGGACATTGCAAACAGAGGAGTGAATCCACCCATGTGAACCCTTCTAACTAGCCGACGTCTGATGGCCTCTGACAGAGCCACCAGGGCCCTCCCCACTGGAGACGGTAGGGATCTCCAGTGCCACCCTCTCCCCGCCTCTCCCAGGTGTGTGCAGTCTCCACCACCCCACTCTCCAACTTGCAGCCCTCAACTCTCAGCTCAACGTGGCAAAGGTGGATCTTCAAAGTGGTGCGTGGGAAGCAGCGGAAATAAATCACTCGAGCACCGCTACCGCTCACTCTATCTCCCCATGCACCACTTCAAAAATGAACCTTGCTATCTCTAGTGTCACTTGCGAAGTCCCCTTGCGAGGGGTAAGGGGACGGGTAAAATGACGGGAATGGGAATGAACTGTCCTCGTCAGTCCAGAGAAGTCAACAAGCAGACTGAGGGTTAGCTAAGGTTCACGGGGTCGCCGCTCAGCTACTCACCAGATTGACACACACATTGATCAGAGACCTAAGGTGAGGCAGGAAGGATATGATAGGCTGCCTCTGAAGTGTCAAACAAACCCCTTCAATCAAATTGCTGGCAGGCTCCCACTCAACCTGGCGCCTGCAATACAACAGTAGGTGCCGTTAGCCGCTGGCCTCCTGCCCCCCACCAGACGCTCGCACACACGGCGACCGACACACAGTGACGCCCACAGAGGAAACATTTCAGACAGCGACGACGTCCAAGATGAGCACAAAGTGCGCAACAGAGAAAAGGTTTGACCCACGCAGCTCAGGAAAGCACAGAGCACACCGGGCGCTGGGAGACCAAAAATGGAGCAGAGGTGTCTGCAGTAGTGACACAAAACCCCTCACAACAGGAATGGTGGATGGGCTGTGCTTCACTCCCTGACGCTGCCTTCTGACAGATGGTGGATGAAAGGGAGCCACCAGACAGCTCTCCAGGTGTGCCTGTGTGTGGGAAGCCACCCGCTGGGCCATGCTCCCATCTGAGAGCGACTC